AGATGGGTGTAGGGTCAGTTTGCTGTGTGTCTCCAACCCTCCTACCAGTCTCAATGTGGCTTCTTTAATTCCATAGTTGTAGGAATTCCATTCAAACAAGTAGTAACTACTTGATACCAGGCAGTTTTGAATGATGGTTGTTCTGTAGTTTAGTTGTAATTTTGATGTGGCTGTGGAAGGAGATGAGTACTGTGTTTACCTATGCTGCCATCTTGACCAGAGGTTAAGTTCACTTTTAAACCACATAATGGGATTCAAAGTCATCTTTTTTAAATTAATTAATTTTTTATTGATTATGCCATTACAGTTGTTCTATTCCCCCCTTCATTCCCCTCCACCCTACACCCCGTCCCCACCATTACACCCCCTTTAGTTTATGACCATGTGTCTCAAGTTCTTTAGATTCTATATTTCCCATACTATTCTTGCCCCCCATCTATTTTCTATCTACTGTCTATGCTACTTATTTTCTGTACCTTCTCCCCCCTTCTCCTCCTCCCACTCCCCTGTTGCTAACCCTCCTTGAGATCTTCATTTCTATGTTTCCACTCCTGATCTAGCTGTCCTTTTAGTTTGCTTTTGTTTTAGGTGTGGTTGTTGATAACTGTGAGTTTGCTGTCCTTTCACTGTTCATCTTTTTTTAACTTCTTTTTCTTAGGTAAGTCCCTTTAACATTTCATATAATAAGGGCTTGGTGATGATGAACTCCTTGAATTTGATCTTATCTGAGAAGCACTTTATCTGTCCTTCCATTCTAAATGAAAGTTTTGCTGGATTGAGCAATCTTGGATTTAGGTCTTTGGATTTCATGACTTGGAATACCTCTTCCCAGCCCCTTCTTGCCTGTAAAGTCTCTTTTGAGAAATCCTCTGACAGTCTGATGGGAACTCCTTTGTAGGTAGGTGACTATCCCCTTATCTCTTGCTGCTTCTAGGATTCTCTCCTTCATTTTAATCTTGGCTAATGTAATGATGATGTGCCTTGGTGTGTTTCTTCTTGGGTCCAACTTCTTTGGGACTCTCTGAGCTTCCTGGATTTCCTGGAAGTCTATTTCCTTTGCCAGATTGGGGAAATTCACCTTTATTATTTGTTCAAATAAATTTTCCACTGGTGGCTGTTCCTTTCCCCCTTCTGGTACCTCTATAATTCGGATGTTGGAATGTTTAAAGATGTCCTGGAGGTTCCTAAGACTCTCCTCATATTTTTTGAATTCTTGCTTCTTCGCTCTTTTCTGTTTGGCCATTATTTGCTTTCTTCTGGTCCACTCCATTGATTTGAGTCCCAGTTTCCTTTTCATCGCTATTCATCATCCTGTGCAATTCCATTCATTTGAATTAGTTTTGCCTTCATATGTTGGTCTACTTTGTGGCTATAATCAACCAGTTCTGTGAGGATCCTGATCACCAGTGTTTTGAACTATGCATCTGAGAGTTTTGCTATTTCTTCATCGCTTAGATTTATAGGCTCTGGGGCTTTGAGATCTTCTTGAGCGATTTTTGGTCTGTTTGTGCCCGTTAAGTATGAGGAGCGGAGCCTTGGACTCCCAGGTCGCTGGGTTATGAGGCTGTATGTGGAGGCAGGGTCAGAGCGGGAAAATGGTGGCGCCCTCTGTTCCTGCTCACCGCTGGGGCCTGCTGGGTCCCGTCTAATCGCCCATTCCCTCGCTTGTCTATCCGCGCATGAATGCACGACTACAGTCAACCCACAGCCCTGCTCCCTCGCTGTTTCCCCGAGGTCGCTCGCTAGGTCCAACCCTGTGCCTGGGTTCCCTGTGCCTGAGTTTTCCTGACCAAGTTTTCCTGTGCAACCCCACTCCGCCAGCTGCTGGTTTCGCCCCTCTTACCGGTCAGGCTGAAGAATTTGTTGTTATCAGACTTCCGAAAAGTTCAATTTTCTGTGTTCTGGCTGTGTTTTTTGTTGCTGTTATTTAGTTGTCTCTAAACTTGGTTGTGTGAGAAAGCACGGCATCTCCACCTATGCCTCCATCTTGGCAGAAGTCCAAAGTCATCTTAAGTAAGGAGCCAATGTAGGTAATAATCTAGATTGGTGTTAAATTACTCAAAGCAGAGTTGCAGATGAGCCATGAATATCTGAGCTAGGTGAGCTTATCTATAGACATACATCCCAGAGACTGATAGGAAAACAAGCCTTATACTATATGTGCCTTTGTAGTCAAAGTGAAGAATGTCCTGGCTATCTGATCCAAAATATCAGGAATTCCACAACAAAAATGGAATCCCACTTTGAAGGAATCTTGAGTACAGAGAACCCATCTATAAATCTTCATCCATCTCTATCTAGCCTTTTAGAGAGAAGAAGAGATGTGGGAATGAAGGAAGGATGGTATTTTAATAAGACAAAAGCCACAGCAAAGGTATAGAGTGGAAATAATGCAATTACTATTACCACCAAGACTGCAGCACAGAGCTGTTTCTCAAATGGGAAGCAATCCAGGTAAGTTTTTGAGCTTCCTTTCTGGAAAACAATTTATTGCTCAATATAACTGAAAATGCAGATTATTCCTTAGAAGTCTGGGATAACTTTTTTCTAATATCATTCAACCAAAAGGAAAGGTCTATTCTGGCCTAAATAGGAGGTTTTAATTGTAAATGTAATTAAAATAGCAATCTTCCTTAGGACCTCAGGGAGCTTAAGCTGGACACTGGCCCATTAACAGACTACTTGTGTTGATAACATCTTCTTGAACACTATCAGAGAAGCCCAGGGAGGCTATTTATAATCCTGAAGTAAAGAGGAGTGAGGGGTGGGCAAAATGACAAGCATGAGTCATGGTTTATTCCGTTCTACTGAAGACTCTTACAAAGCCTTCCCTCTGACTAAGCGCAAGTAGCTTGGCACCTGACAGGACTGAAACATAGGATCCAGGAGCTTGGAAGATGATTGTGCTTAACAATATTATTAATTCCAAAATGGCAAACAAATGGACAATATAGTAAAAAGAAGTTAAGAGAGGGAACAGCAGACCAAGATAAGAAAAATGTTTGAAAAAAACAGAGCCTGACTTTCTCTGTTGAGTTCTTCTGTATTGCTGCTCTGGATTCCTTTTTAAGGCCTTTCCCATAAATTGCATTTTAGTAAAAATATCTTACATTTGAATAGAATATATAAGAAAAATAGTACCATATCAAATATTAGGAGACCAAATTAGATTCTAATTCTACTCATGTCACAAATCTGCTCTTATCCAGGACACTTCAACCTCTCTGGGCCTCACAGAAAAACATTGGTAAGAATAAGTAGGGGGGTTACAAAATATGAAGACAATGCTTCCTCTGGAGGCAGATTCCTAGGGTTCCCTTAAATATGCTTTGGGTGTCTTACCTCCTTGCTTGCTAGTCCTGGCCTGCCTCCACTGCACTTACTCAGAGATCAGAGATTGTTTTGTCAAGGCTCTACAGGTCCTTAGGTCTTTTTACACACTGCCTTTCTCTTCCCATGCCTCAACCTCTAATAATTTCCTTTTTCTTCTTTAATCTACTTGCAACCATCTTCATTATCAATAGCAGCCCCACCCATAACCTCCAGTGGGGTCTCTGCCAGCCTTCACTCCCCAGTTCTCTCCTGCTGTTGCACACTGTGCCTTTTCTGCTCAGGTCTCACTCCAACTCTCACTTGCCATTCCCATCCAAAAGCCATCCCCCGTGATAGAAAAAGATTCCCACTGTGCAGGAAAGCAGTTCAGAAGTAAAACAAAAGAGAAAAAAATTCCTGTTCGTACTGGTAGCATTTTTGTTGTAGTAAATGAGTGTTTCTGGGACATAGTAGGAGCTAAAAATGTGTCCCAATGAATAGAATAGTGTTCTCTAATCAAAACTCTCAAAGCTGTTTCCCAGAGTGAAGTTACTATATACACAGTAGTCCTGTATTTCACGTAAACATGACAGGTAAAAAGCTTTCTGCAGGCTGACCTGGGAATCCTACTTTCACTAGACATTGTTTCTATGGGAAAATTCTGTCTGAGTCGCAATTAACTTACCAATGACATTTGACAACTAAAATGCCTTTCCTTCCTCAAAAACCAGGAAATTTAAAAATCTGTTAGGCAAAAGAAGAAATAAAAAAGCAGCAATCTCTGGATATAACATAATTATATGTACATGTATTATGATGTAAAGATACGCTTATGAATAACATATATATACACAAGTATGTAAGGAGTAGGTTGGTAAAAGTGAATTACTAAATTGATCTCTCTCTCTCACTCACACACACACACACACACACACACCCCACTTGTATCTTCTTTAAGAGCATGAGGTCAACCTCCGTAGACCACTCCCAAAAGTAGACATTTACTGTGAGAAAGGGGTTTCAGTCATAGTAAGAATAAACACAGAGGAAGTAAAGATCACAGGGTAACACCAGAGGATCAAACCCACCCCCCCCCAAATTTGGAAAAGAACGTAAGATACATAGAAGAGCTAAATATGGACAGGGTATCCACCCAAAATACTCATTTCTAAACAAAATCCTCTTTAGCAAATGAAAGCATGGCAGGTCCCACTGGTTGCCTGAAAGTCTTGGAGTAGGTTAACAGATACCCTCCTTCAGAGAAGATATCCAGAGACCACTGGATATCTTCTCTTCTGAGAAGGAGGAAGATGCAAAGGCAGAAATCAGAAAGGTATGTGTAGGGGCAAGCAAGTGAAGACCTAAGTGGAGAAGCCAGAAAAACCATAGCTGAAGCTTCCGAAACTGCTGAGCTGAAGTGCTCAGGTTTGGCAGGTTGAGTCACAGGTGCCATGGGTTCTGAAATAGGAGTATGAAAAGAAGAACAGAAATGATGAAGTCTGTCCGGGCATTCCATGCATAAACCATCAATAATCAACAGGTACCAAGTACCTGGCACTGTATCTGGCTCTTCAGTGCAATCTTTGACATTAAAATTTAAAGGGAAGGTGACTCAAAAAGGGGAGGGGATGGGAGCAAAAGGAGGCAGGGAGAATGGTACCTTTATGTTTTTCTCCAAGTTGACTCACCTCATAGAAAAGTCCTTCTGGGAACTGCTGGAAGCACTGAGCACACACAAAACACTGCTCATGGTACAACTCGCCATTACTGTTTACAATCTTCTCAGCGGGTGCAAAACCTCCCTTGCAGCGCTCACAGGCAGCATTGGCAAGGGCATTGGCCATATTACTGTAACAAAGAAAGGAAGGGAAGTCATAGATTAACCTCTTCTTAGACTTAAGACTGAAAAACAGAATGAACTAAAGAGCACACATTCTATCTGTTAACAAAAATCATATTTTATCTAAAAAGCCCAACTCTTTGCTTATTTCTTAAGTTCTCAAGTCAAACTGATCCTATCTCTGCCATAACATGTTAAGTCCTCAACACTCCTCCTGCTTGGAATCTGTTTTTCTTTAACATTTTGACATTTCTCTTGATAAATATACCACAAGTAAATGCCTATGGATACAGATGAAAGTTAAGGGTTGTCCTCATGGAGTTTTGAGTTTATAGCTTTATAAGTAGCTTAATTAAAATGTCCACAAATCAACATTTCAAAGCCAATTTCTCTCCCTTCTGGGAACAGAATTTAAACCTCATGTCAACTAAACACCACGTCATTGCACAAACAGATTATTCCTTTGGTTAGACCCTGTTGAAACCAATTGCTCAAGTAACTCTTAAAATGAGTCAAAATTCCTTAGTCCTATAATCTAATTGGTAAAACAAATGTTAAGCACTGATATTATAAAATATAGCTTATAATCACAGAATTTTGCATTATAAAGATCATTTTACAGATGATGAAACAGAGGTTTGGAGAAGAGAGGTAGAGTGAATAGCCCAACCTCACAAAGCTCATTAGTTAACGGAAGATAATAGAATTAGAATCCAGTTGCCCTGCTCATAACATCAAAATCATATTACAACACCAATTTCAAACACTTGAGAGGACATGATAAGAACATCATCACACTTTACAGATGAGGGAAGTAAAGTCAGGCAGTCAGTGACCACTGATGATGAGCCCAATGCCAATCATTCCCCTACACTTGGAAGGACACAGGAGGCATTCAAAAAATCCCATGCTCCACCTAACTACTGCAGTTTGCAAGAAAAGCATATAATAAGACATATAATGAAATATAATTAGTTATTCTCTAATGACTGCCCCCCCCCAGTGAATTTCACATGAAGAACTGGTTTATTTCTGAAAGGCCTCCAAGTGAAGAAGGTCCCGTAAGCAGAAGTCATTGGCCAAGCCACCTATTGTAATCTGGCAAGTTTATTTTCAGTTGCACACTTTGAGTGCAAGCTGTACCTGTGTGTCTGGTCCCCAGGTGCAGCTTCTGACAATCTTGTAAAGTTACTGCCAATGTTCTCCTGAATCTTCACAACCACTCCGAGGCAGGTAGGGAGAGTCTCCATTTTACAGATTAAATGCTTCGACTCATCAGTTTCTAAGTTTTGCTGTTGCTTTAGCCAGTCTTCACACTGGCTTATTTTCCCTCAATTCCCCCTACCCCACCACACCGAGGGGCAACTCTGTCTATTCCCACCAAGTGTTTCAAAGTATAGTATTACTATTTTGTAGCTTTGCCATTAACTTACTAAGTAATATGTTTATACCTCCATAACAATCACACTCAATTTTACTTAACAGGCTTAAATATAGAATAGAAACATCACCCCCCAAAAAAGGAGAAATGAAAGAAGGTAGGCAGCCTAACAAACCTTGCCTAAGTCTCACACTAAAACACATTTTCTACCTTCTCATTTCAGAATTACCTAGTTAGAAAGAAATATCTATAAAACTCCCTTCTTTATTTGGCTTTGCCATTAGCCAGATGAACTGTGAAATTTTTAGCAAGCTCTGGAAAAGTACGGATTCCTTCTCTCTCCTGACCACTATCCTCAGGTGTACCCTGATGAAGTATTGTAAATGCACAACTGCCCTGATAATTTTTAGTACTGTTTTGAGGATAAGAAAAAGTATATAAAATCACTTTGAAAACCAGAAGATGCTACTCAAATAAAAACATTATTATTAATTTAAAAACCTCTCAAAAGCCACCAAATCCTCAGTGATTTTAATGGAACTCCAAGAAGAGCTAGAAATAAGACCATCTTGGAATGCCCCGACTCATTATTATCTAGATCGGTGGTTTTCAAAATTTAGGGGCCACTGTGACCCTTTCTGAGGTTCAAAAGGTCCTCCCTTTTATAACCATATCTCTATGTAAGGCCATATTTTCTTCAAAAACTTTACTGAAAACAACATATTACAATAGGATGAATGCAGAAGCAGTTATGAGAAACTGAGAAGTTTCTCTTTATTGAGAGAGGTTAATGAGATTTGCAAAAATGTAACATAATGCTACACTTCCCACCAAAAGTTTGTTTTAGAAACACTTCTTTTTCATCAAAAATTAATATTAACATTTTATTGTGTAATGAGATTATTAGTATTTCAAATGAACTAATAAATACCTAAAATATTTGTTTTCTTTTCCTGATACAGTAAATATAGATAAAACAAAAGCTATTTGGAGACCTCAATAATGTTTTAAAGTGTAAAGGGGTCCCAAAATCAAAATGTTTATTATTGACCTTTATACTACAGATTAGCAATTTTCAACAAGTGTGCCACATAAATTTTTCAAACATTCAATGCCTGACTATTTAGTCAGGGGCACTGACCTCTTTCTTTTCCCTTAGATTGTCAAGTGAAAAAAGCGACAATAGCCAACACAACAAAAGCCAGCTCGTGTACATGAATCAAAATTACTCCTATTGTTTTTTGTCAAACAGGCAAAAAATATAATAGAAAATAGGTAGACATATTACAAAAAGAAGCATATTGTTTTATTTCCACTGCAGGAAAAATAAACTACTTTTATTTTAGATAACATAATACGTATTTTTGAAGTATTTTTTTTTCATAAAAAGCAGGAAAAAAACCAGAACATTGGAGGTAACTTTCAGGAAAAAAAGTACCAATAATCTTACTGTTTTTGATTCTCTGGCACTATGTTTTCTTGTTTTGTTTTAATTTGAATAAATTGTTTAAAAAGATTTTATTTACTTATTTTTAGAGAAAGGGTAAGAAGGAGAGAGAAACATCAAAGTGTGGTTGCCTCTCATACACCCTCCTACTGGGGACCTGGCCCACAACTGAAGCATGTGCCCTGACTGGGAATTAAACGGGTGACCCTTTGGTTCACAGGCTGGAAATCAACACACCCAGCTACACCAGCCAGGGCTAATGGACTGTTTTTTAGAGCAGTTTTAGGTTCACAGAAAAACCGAGTGGAAGAAACACAGATTCCCCATATGCCCTCTGCTCCACACATGCACAGCTTCCCCAATACCAATATCCCCACCTAAGTGGCACATTTGTTACAGTGGATGAAACTATATTAACATATGTATTTTTTACAGTTGACTTTTATATTTAAGAATCATAAGTTACTTTTTAAAATTCATGAATGATAGTTATAGCTGTCATTTGTTTAGTTATAATAAATTAACTACTTTCAGAAAAAAGGAATTCCACTAGATTTTTCAACAAAAGTGTTGATGGCAATTATTAATGTACACCGGGGAATATCTCTAGATATATTTTTATGCAGGATATATATACATTCCTTTAGTGTAGAGTCTTTTCAATAGCCCGGTCATAAGTGTTTTAGCTGATCTATTTCCAAAATTCAGGCACACAACAGAACACCTGGCGCCATCAACCTTTCCATTATTCAAGTGCCCTATTTATCAAAGTATGTGAAACAAATTTTCTGGCATTAAAACACACAGAAAATATACAAATTCAGAAAGCATCTTGAGAGTTCACCAAGCATTTTAGTTACAATGTAAATATAATTGCCAAATTAGTCTTAAAAGAGCTCTTTATGAGTTGTGAAAATAAATGACATCTGTTGCAATACCACACAGAATGAATTCATGGAAATAGAGAATCAGGTCAGTTAAATTCTCCTTAACTTTCAATTGACAAATTGGGGATTTGCAATAATTCTAAGCGTCCAAGCATTGTATAAGGTCAACAATCTTACATGAGTTGGTCTAAATAATACTTTGCACTATTTTGTTTTTGAAAACTGTTTGCTAAAGCCCAGTAGTAATATGAATTAGATAAACTTTGAGGGCTAGCTGTACAATATATATATTTGCTAGTTACACAACATCCTTTTTTATTCATTCAATGCCCTAGAGAGACAGTATTAAAAAGCTCAGTTAGTATACTTTAAACTGCTGATTGTTAAACATCACAAATATCAGTAGCCTGTAATTAATTTTTTTGGTTTCTTCCAATCTGCCCCTTACCTGTGGACACTTCTAGAATATAAAAACTTATTATAATCCTAATAATGGAAATTCTAAACCTCCTTCTTGAACTGTACAGTGAAAATCAGGAACCTGCTAAAGACAGATGTTACTATTCTTACTGTAAAGGTAGCACTTTCCTTCACATCTGCATTTCATCCAACACGAGTTTCCATGAACAAACAACTGACCTGACTGCTGGAACCTGCTGCACCACCCTGAAGGCCCCTGCTCAAAGTCTAAGAAATAGCACCGTCAATGGTTATCAAATTGAAAATCCAGAAAAGCTAGATCTGGGAGAGGAGAACTCTAGGAAAGAAGACACTCACAATTTTGCATAAAAGTCGCAGAACTCTTTATAGACTTTGATGTCACTGTGCCTGCGCTGCAGTTTGGACACAGCCCTCTCATCTTCGTTGCCATCAGGCTGGTGGACACTGCTCAGCGCTGTCTGGGACACTTCTTCATTCTTTGGGATGACAGAGGGATGGTGTGCCCTACTCGAGAATGCCATCATTGATACTTTTGAGCTTGAAGCCCAGGGCAGAGAGCAGCAGGGCAGGAGACCAGAGAAATAATGTCCAGGCCTTGTCTGCTTCCCTGCCAAGGTCACTCCCACTGTCCTCACACACGTCAGCCACAGTCTTGCCAGGGTGGCTAGTGACCTTCACGTTAAGAGCTCCAGCAGCAAAGCAGTAAGTTGGCCTGAGAGTCCTGATTTATTGAGGCATTTTGGAAGCTCTAGAAAACATTCCAAAAAGTAGTAACCCAGCCTTTGCCAAGCAGCCATTCTGGTGGACTCTGCCTGTAATCACTACTATAGGAAAGAGGGCTGCTTGGTAGGTCTCTGAGAAAGAAACAGTCCTGTACCCTGGCTGTCTGCTGCTGGCTTCAACAACCCCAACACTGTGCTTCTCAACTTTGGTGAGCATAAGAATCTCTTAGAAAGCGTATAACACACCCCCAGAAATTCTGTTTCTAATAAGTGCCTGGTGAGGCTGGCACTGCTGGCACACTCTGAGGAGCAACACCATGCCCAGGGCATGCTTGCCAGATGTGCACTATGACGGCCTTCCCCCAAATATCTGTGAGTTGGTGAAGAACTATGTTTGACTCAACTTATTTCACAGTTGGCACATACTAAAAGTTCAAGAATGTGTTCAATGAATAGGTTGCAAGAAGTGACAGGAAAGAGCTGTAGTTAGAACTCCTTGTATTTGATCCCCAGCTATCCTATAACTTATGAGCCAATACTGGTTTACCATGACTAAAAATGCCATTGGCATGTCTTATTATACCGTATCACAGGTCTTGTAACAGTGTCAGCAATGAAGATAATGACGTAGTACTGCCAGGCTCTTTTTATTTTCTTAAAATATTTTATACAGCCCTTAATTTGTATTAGGTTCACTGAAAGTAAATCATGCTCATTCTCCTGCCAGAATCATCATCAGATCCAAAATACTCTGCCCACACTAAGATAATGCTACTTAGAAACACCAAGCTCACACAATATCCAAGAGGGCTGGGGACAAGTTCTCTCTCTACTGTCTTTTAGCCTCACTTCACATGCCAAAAATGTAACCCTTGGCAGGGCAGAAACTGTGTCTTGTTCATGACTGTACTCTCATCATGGTTAGAGTTCACCTCTTAGCAGGTATGTAATAATTACTTGTTGATGAATGGAGTTAATAATCCATCTACTTGATCAACAAGCCCTGGAAATAATGAAAGAGCAAACTGGCTACCAGTTTTTGAGTCAGCAAGAGATCTAAAAATGTAACTAAAAAGTACTAAGGGAAAAATGTAACTAATTATCTTAATTGCTTCACAATGACTAGTCTTATTTCTACTATACAGAATAGTAAAACTATGAAAAAGTTAATGGTTCATGAAGATAAGACATAACAAAGTCTCTTGGCTGCCAAGGAACTAAAAATATTCTGAAACATCTGCAATCAAATTTTTAACTTTTTATTTTGAAGTAATTATAGAATCACAGGGAATTCCAAAGATTTTATAGAGAGGTCCTGTATGTATTTCATTGAGCTTTTTCCCCAGTGGTTACATCGTATGTAACTATAGCACATCGGAATCAGGAATCTCACATCAGTGCAATGTATATACAAATGGTAGACACAGAACACACCATCCTCATGATATGATATAAGGCTAGTCCCTCACTACAAAGATCTCTTTCAGCTTATCTCTCAAGTCTTCTCCCCTCCCTGCCATCCCTAAACCCTGGCAACCACTAATGAGATTTTCATCTCTGTAACTTAATGTTATTGCTATGGACTGAATGTCTGTTTCTCCAAAATTCACATATTAAAAGCCTGATCCCCAATGTGATAGCATTTAGAGGTGGAGCCTTTGGGAGGTTATTAGGATTAGATTAGGTATTGGGAGTGGGACATGAATCCCTCACCATGAGATTAATACCCATATAAGAAGAAGAGAAACAGGTCACTCTCTATGGGCCACGTGATACATGATATGGTACAGCCAAGAGTAACTGCTACAATCCAGGAAGTGGATCCTTATCTAAGATGGATCTGTGGAGGCTTGATCTTAGAATTTGCAGCATTCAAAACCTTGAGAAATAAATATTTGTTGTTTGAACCATATAATGTATAGTATTTTTTTATAGTAGCCAAAACTGACTGAGATAATTACATAAATAAAAATCATACAGTATGTGACCTTGGAAGGCTGGCTTTTTCCACTAGCATAATGCCCTTTCATTTATATATAAAGAGCATCTTCCTTTTTATTGCTGAGTACTATTCTATGGTATAAACATATTAAAGTTTAACCATTTACCCATTGAAGTACACATAAGTATTGGGTTGGCCAAAAAGGCTATTTAGTTTTTTCCATAAAATAAAAGACAAATTTTTCATTTTCATCAACAACTGTATTGATCTGGATATTTTGAGTATGTCGGCTATCACCTGCTATTAGCTTCTACTGGGTAGAGGCTGGAGTGCTGCTAAACATCTTCCAGTGCATAAGATAGCCCCACAGCAAGAATTACTTAGTATGTCAATAGTATCAAGAAACTTCGCAAATCACTACTGACACATTCAATCAGTCACAGTACCTCCTCCATATACTGCACAAATCTTTACTTGAGTTTCAGTTGCATTTTTACCATTCTTGAAAAAAAAACATAATACACTGAAAATGTTATTTTCTTCTAGCATCAACGTTAAAATGGTTGCACAAAAATTCACCAATTTTGATAGGTTTTTAAAATGCACGCTGTCATGATACAATCTAACAAAATTGTTTAGAATGAAGTTAAAGACAACTAAGCACTACTACAGCCATCATATAGAAAAAACGAAATAAAATTTTTGGCCAATCCAATCAATAGCTTCCAGTTTTGGGCTATTTTGAATAGAGTAGTGTATAAGTTTCTGTGTGAATATAAGTCATCGTTTCTCTGGGATAGGTGTCTAAGAGTGAAACTAGTGATTTGTATAAGTTTATATTTACTTTTTTTTTTTAAGAAACCACCAAATTATTTTCTACTGTAGTTGTACCATCTTACATTGCCACAGCCGTATATGAGATTCAAATTCTCTACATCCTTGTCAGCATTTGGTGTTATCATTATTTTTTATTTTAGCTGTTCTAATAAGTACATAGTCCCAATTTTGTTTTATATATGTATGTATTAAGTATATATAAGAGAAGATAAGTACAAAAACAGGCCAGAAATTTTACTTCACTAGATAATCATATTGACAAGAAGAAAAAAAGTAATATGTGCATTTGGGAAAAAAACACTACAGAGAAGTATAAAATGAAAAGTCTCTTAATAGTTTGTGTGTGTTTATATGCATGCACATGTACTCTACTAATCTTAACTGTCCCTTTGATGAAACTGAAGAGCTCATTAAAATTTTTTTTTGATTCTTGATCACCAACAAGACATTAAGTTGAAATTAAAGCAAATCTGGTTTTGCTTTGTATTTGTTTCCCCAGTGCCCCGAGTACAGACAGGCTGATGGTTCTTACTACTAACAGAGCCACGAGGAAACTGTGCTTGAACAGGAAATACATCTTAACTCTCCTCCATAAGGCACTAAATTGTTCCACACCTGTTCTCTGCTTAATCAACTTAATGCTGAAAACTTAGTGAAAATTCTCTTATTTTTTCGAGGTACTTAATGAATATTGTGTTAAGAAGAAGCATGTAGAACCTTTTTCCCCCCTAGTTTCCTCTGCTTCCAGCAGGGACTATATTAATGAGGGTGCTTGGTACCCAGAAACCCTAGATTAGGGGCATCCAACCTGCAGTCCACATGTAGCCTGGAATGGCTATGAATGCAGCCGAACACAACATAATAAATTTACTTAAAATGTTATGAGATTTTTTGTGATTATGTGTTGCAATGTATTTAATGTGTGGCCCAATACAACTCTTCTTCCAGTGTGGCCCACAGATGCCAAAAAGTTAGACACCTTTCTGAACTAAAAAACAAAAACATAAACTAAGCAAAGAACTGGAACAGGAACATAATCATAGAAATGAAGATCACATGGAGGGTTATCAGTGGGGGGGGAGAGTGGGATCATGGTGAGGGAGGAGGTACAGTGTGTAAGAAGCATAAATGGTATGCATAAAATAGGGCGAGGTTAAGAATAGTATAGAAAAATAGAGAAGCTAAAGAACTTATATGTATGATCCATGGACATGAACTAAGGATGGGGGAATGCTGGAGGGTGGGCAGGTACAGCGAAGAGGGGGGATAAAAGGGAGAAAATAATTGGGGCTACTGTAATAGCATAATCAATAAAATATACTTTAAAAAAAGAATCAACTAATGAATGCATAAATCAGTGGAACAACAAATTGATGTTTCCCTCCCTCTCTCTAAAAATCAATCAATCAATAAAAGTAACATAGAAATAGGGTTATTATATGTTGTATGCCATTCCAGAGAGATCTGTGTATGTGAATGGCTAACTAAACACTCGGCAACTAACATAATGAAACTTCTCCAAAGTCAATGAAAGGCTTCCATGAATGTTGGGGTATACAAATTGTTGAGATGGGCTGGTTAAATTACCACATGGTAAAATAAAGTATTTTCACTGTGATTCTCAATCCCACTCAAATAGAAAATTTAATCTGATTGTCCCTTATTACTAAAAACAAAACAATCAACATGTAAGTAAAGATAATGGAGATGGGAAGTTCTTTCTCATTTCTTAGCTTCCCAGACAAATGCATTGTGTTTTTTTTTAAGATATGGTGAGGAAATAGACAAAGGCTGGACAGAAAAGGACCCAGAGTTGCAACTAATATGCCATTTTACCCTCTCTGCTCAAATTGTTTCCTAATTCCTGATAGGGGTGAGAGAGTGACAGCAAAATAAGATGAACAGTTTAAAATGAAGAAAACTGCCCTGGCCAGGAGGCCCAGTTGGTTGGAGCACTGTCCCACAAACCAAAAGGTTGTGTGTTCAATTCCCAGGTAGGACACATATCTAGCTTGCAAGCTGGACCCTTGGTTGGGGGCGTGTGAAAGGCAACTGATAGATGTCTCTTTCTCACATCAATACT